TTCCATCTTGATTTATCCATTTTTCGTTTTATATTTCATATTATTTTTGTTTCTTCTCATTCATTTATGGCAAGTCTTGAAAATGGGCGATTATTTCATATTACTTTTGTATCTTCTCATTCACTTCTGGCAAGTCTTGAAAATAGGCTCCTGTTTTTAAGCGCTTGAAACATGTCGATTGCTATCTCCTATTTATATATTTTTGAAGCGAATGTAGTTTTTTAATTATGTAAATAACGTTTCTTTTAAAATACTATTTTCTTCTGCTACATTGAAGCACTGTTGTCTGATTTCAGAGTCAAAACATTTTTTATTATCTATACTGAAATATTAACACTTCCAGCTTTCCTCTCTTTTTAAAAATAAATTTTGGAAACGAGCTTTTCTTTAAGGAATACAATAGTTACTAATGGTTTTACAAAACTGAATTGTAGTTAACTATAATGAGGATCAATCAAATAACAAAAAAATAATTTTCGCAACAGTAAATCCAAATAATTTTTAAAATTCAAAATAAAATGACACCTGGCAATGTTTGTCATTAGTTTTTTTCTTCTTCTTTTTTTCCTTTAAAAAAAACAATTATCTTTCGCAGAAGTAAAAGCTTGTCTTTAATAAGAAAACAATAGGTACTAATGGTTCTATGAAGCTGAATTCCTTAACTACAATAAAGATAAATAAAAACACACACAAAAAAATTATTTTCGCAACAGTAAATCAAGATAATTTATTAAATTCAAAATAAAATGGTATTCGGCAATCGTTATCATTAGTTTTTGTTTATCTTTTTTCCTTTTTAAAAAAATGATAATTATCTTTCGTAGAAGTAAAAGCTTGTCTTTAAAAAGAAAACAATAGGTACGAATGGTTCTACGAAGCTGAATTCCTTAACTACAATAAAGATTAATAAAAACACAAAAAAATATTTTTTTTCAGCAGTAAATTAAGATAATTTATTAAATTCAAAATAAAATGGTATTCGGCAATCGTTATAATTTTTTTTCTTTTTTAAAAAAATAAATAACCATCTTTCGTAGAATTAAAAGCTTGTCTTTAAAAAGAAAACAATAGAATGGTTCTACGAAGCTGAATTCCGTAACTACAATAAAGATTAATAAAAACACCAAAAAAAATATTTTTCGCAATAATAAATGAAGATAATTTATTAAATTCAAAATAAAATAAAATTTGGCAATCGTTATCATTAAAAAAAATTTTATTTCCTTTTTAAAAAAATAAATAATCATCTTTCGTAGAAGTAAAAGCTTGTCTTTAAAAAGAGAAGAATAAATACTAATGGATCTACGAAGCTGAAATCCTTAACTACAATAAAAATTAATAGAAACACAAAATAGAAAAAAAATAAATTATCTTGATTTACTGTTGCGAAAAATATTAAATTCAAAATAAAAATGATATTTGACAATCGTTGTCATTAGTTTTTTTTTTTTTTCCCTTAAAAGAATTATCTTTCTCAGAAGTAAAAGTGGTTGTTAAAAAAAACATCAAATTTCAAGAGGGTTTTTTATTTTTATTTTTTTATCTTAGCTTAATATCCTTGGTTTTTTTTTCACAACAAGGGGGTAAAAGATTACAAAGATTTTCTTTGTTTACACTTCGGAAGGGAATGAGTGAGAAAATGGCGAGTCAGAAGCACTAGTTGAAGAAAGATATATTCACTATTACTTTACTTCAGCCATCATGAGTGCCCGTAAATCTAGGTTCAGAGTTGCCGAAAAATTTACTAAGACACTTCTAGAAGGCTTTTTTTTTTCTTTTTTTTTAACTTTATTGCTTTTTTTACACCACAGCTTTATTAACTGAATCATTATTCTAGTAAATGGTCTATCTGTTAAATTTTTTAAGCGTAAGTTCGGTGAGAAAAAAAAAAGGAAGAATTTTTCCACCAATCAAATTTTTTTCTCTTCGTCGTACTGCTAACGAGCTGACGGTTAAGTTTTACATGAAAGGAAAATACGGAATACTTGCTATAACATAAGCCTTTTCATTATTTTTCCCCAAAACACTTTTGATTGTTTTCTCTTTATATAAAAGAATTAATTTCTAACGTAAGTGATCTATTCTTATACAATTGCTTTGTTTTGACACTAGTAAGTTATTCCCCAATAGAATTAGTTTTAAGTAAAGTGAATTATCTTTTACTCAAATGAATAAGTTGAGTAAAGTGTAACATGTAATAAGTTTACACTATAATAAGCTAAACGCAAGTAATAAGTTATTTTTCGGGAAACTCTTTTTCGTACCAATTAATTATTTTTTTACGGAGGGAAATAGTTTGAACTCAGGAGATATCTTTTTTATAAGTGAATTAATTTTTATGAAAAGGAAATTTTTTTCAAAAGATGTTTTTTTATCGAATATGTATTTTTTTTCTTAAACAAAAATGCATTACACTGGAGATTTTCTTACACTGTTTTATGAGATTACACACTGTTTTATGAGATTTTTTAATGGATCATGGACATTTTCGAGCCGCTAATTTCAAATCTGCTATCAATTTCTCTTTCCTAGCTATAGTTTAAAGGAGATTTGTAGACTACTTTTGTCGAAATGTACAAGCTTCAAAACATTATACACAATAAGGGGTTTACATAAATGTTGCGACAAACTTCTATAGGAGTTAGGGCACATCATCAGGATTAAAATTGCATAGGGAACTCAAGCCCGGGAAAGTAGTCATATGCCGCTAGTGGCTTCTAAACAGGTCCTAATAGGCAGGGGCGGATCTACTTAAGGGCTTTTTGGGCTGCAGCCCAGGGCCCCGTGGATACAAAGGGCCCCAGTCCCCACTGGAAACTATAGGTGATATTTTGAATTAAAAAAAGTATCTAATATTAAAAAAAAATATTATAAGATTGGCAACCCTGAGATCAATCAACCTATGCATGTGCGCGTCTATCGAATGGAACGGGGAATTACCCGTCGCTTGTTTTTGGTCAGTGTATTTTTTCGCGTCTATAATGGGGGACTTCCCGCAGCGCCGCTTAACGCCCGACGCAATTTTGTTTTTTTCCCCGCACTTCTGTTCTCGTCGTCAAAGTGACAAACTTGTTTAGTTTACTAACAACTGTCTTGACTACCAGAAACCCTCTGATCCCACTGAAAACTATATTGGTGTTCAGCAAGAGGACGGTAATACCGAGGCGGAAAGAAATTTAGAGAATATTAAGTTTGAGAAATATGTTGACGTGGGCTTGTGGTCAGAATTGCTAAATAATGATTTTATTAATGACATACTCTCACATGAAATGACTGACTTTCAAAATAAAGATCCGAAAAATATATATTCAGCTTCAATAAAGAAATACAAAGAACAAAACAGAACATTTTCAAATAGGTATTTCATTAAGAAAATGAAAAATGGTCAATCATTGGAAAGATCTTGGTTATGTTATTCAACCAGGGTTGGTACTGTTTTTTGTTTGACTTGCAAACTTTTTTCTAAAATTTCTTCTCAATACACAACCGGATTTTCTGATTGGAAACACATAGGAACTTGTTTAGAAAATCATGAAAATTCTAATGAATATAAGAAATCAATGTTAGTGTGGTTGACACGTGAAGGCAACAAGTTATTTGTGAAGGCAACAAATTAATTGTATCATTAAAAGACCTCGTGAAAAACATAAGGCACCAATCAGATCAGAAGCTAAAGGAATACGGAGAGAAAGCTAAAGAATTAAGTACTAGTGTGGGAATAGACTACAATGACATAAACAAGAGACGCATTACTCCAAAATTTTCAGATAAGTCTACAGATAAATTCTCAGTATACGGAGCAGAAAAATTTAAAAGAGACACTTTAAACGTTGCGTTGGATAAGCTGATTATGGATTTAAATAAAAGGAGTCAAGTCTATGAGATGTATAACAAGAAATTCAAATTTTTAATGGATTTGCAAGACAAAAATATGGAAATCTGGAAAGTGTACGTAATAATGTTGATTATTATCCAGATGACGTAGACGAGCATTTAGTGAATGAGTGCATTCAGTTAAAATCTTATTTACTTCAGTCTAAGCCAGAGTCTTACACCTCTTGCAGTGAAATTTTTATGCTAATTTATGAAAATAAATTTGTTGATGTTTTCCCAAATTGCTACACTGTCTTAAAGATTTTTTTAACTTTTGCCAATTACTAGCTGTGAAGCTGAGCGCTCTCTCTCCAGGATGTCATATATAGAAAACAAATATAGGACAACAATGTCGAACCATCGACTAAATCATTAATCAGTTCTTTCCATAAATTGTGATTTAACGAAGGACTTACAATGTGATGAGTAAATAAAGGAATTTGCAACTCCAAAATGCAGAAAGGTTGCTTTATAATTTATATAACATAACTACACATAACCTGTCTATTTCTTTTGCAATAATGTTGTACAGTTGCTGTTTGTATAGACAAAAAAAAAAAATAAATAAATAAGATTAATTTACTGTCCTATTTTTTTCTATATACTTATCTACATTCCTATAGAAAACAGTTTTTTGACAAAACGGCTATTAGGGCCCCAAAGTAGCTTCAGCCCAGGGCCCCACAAATTCACGATCCGCCCATGCTAATAGGTGAAATATCCTTAGCCGCGTACGACATTTCCAGGCTAAAAACGTCATTTAAAAAAGTCTATAGGAGCAAAACTAAATACATATTTGCAATCCTCACATCCGAATTAAGATCAAGTATGTATTTGTATAAATGCAACAAAAAAAATAATTATTTCCCAGTGTTATTTTTTTTCTTCAAAGATGAATAATTTTTTAATACTGGCGAATTACTTTTAACAGTGGTAATTTTTTTTTCAACACAGGTGAATTTTTTTTTCTCTACTACTAAATTTAAAAATAAATTCACTTGTGACAGCAATAGAGGTATCTGTGTTTTTCAAAAACACAGGCAAATTATTTTTGCCGCAGTGTATTTTTATCTGAACTCGAATAAAATGAACTGACATTTATTATATCCGTAAAAGTTTTATCTTACCTTTCCATATCGAGTGGCGAAAGAACCAGTGAGAAGAGAATGAAATATAATGATAGTTTCATCTAAATCCCAAACGAACACCCTTTCCAGATTATTTTCAGGATCGGGACTTGGGTTGTTTAGTCTTCGACCTCGTCCTTTTCCTGTTTTACCACCTAGCAGAAAAAATTTAAACAAATAATTAAAATAATAATAGACTTGTGATATCTTTATAAGCTGATCAATTTTGAATTTTTAAAAAAAATGTGCTGTTTTTGGTTTGCATGTTTTTGCAAAGACGAGTGCGGAAATTTTTAAAAATTTGCTCTTTTAACTACATTTGTCTCTAACTCGAAAGTATTTGCACTTGTTTTTAAGATATCAGTTCAAAACATGGTTGATATACTTCTAAATAAAATCCTCAAAAGATTTCTTTTTTGGTGATAAATTTTTTACAGTGTTTAATGTATAAGCAAAAAAAAAAAAAAAAAAAAAAAATTTTTTTTTTTTTTTTTTTTTTACNAAAAATTTGAATGAAAAAAAAACTTTTTTTTTTATTTTTTGCTAGTCTTATGAGTTTTTGCGCATAATAATAATAAAACACACACATAAAACAAATAAACCAGTTCTTTTAAAAATTTTATATTAATATTTTTAAAAAAAGTTGTTTGAAATTAGTCGGATACCTTAATATTAAAGATAAAATGAATTGTTGCTGCAGCGAAGTTAATACTATTTGTACACATTCAAAATATTTTTAAAAAAAATATTTTTTTAAAAAGCTGTCTCTAAATTTATAAAAAACTGGAGAAAAAAAACGTCTCAAATTACATATCTGATTGTGGTAAAGTAGTTTATAAAATACTATAATACAGTAATAAATAAATATGACACTTCGAATTCCCATTTAATTGTAATACGCGATGTAAAAATTGAATAGCTAACTGACATTTAGTCACATTTATACAGAAAAATTTGACGCTTTTACCTTTTTTTATGAGAGTTTCTCTTGCACCGTTCGTTGTTTCTAATTTCACCGGCGATGTTGAATGATGGTTGTCTAGGACATATTGAGAAACATCTGTTGAAATATATGTTTCATGAAACATGCATTTTAAACATGTTTAAAATACACCTTGACAAAATTTAAATTATTACAGAAAGAGAAGACACTAAAGAAATATACAATTTTAAAACATAAAAGAGTGTAGCATGCATGATAGTAACAAAAAGTACGTTCACAGCTGTTTTGTTTAAACTGCTACAATACTCAATATCTCAAACATTAATACCAAAAGATTCTTCTTGATAAGAATCCTCTCGACACCTAACTAAAAATTACAATGCATTTTATTTTATTTCTATTTTATAACCGTCGTTAAACAGTCAACCCAATTTTTTGGGCTCACGACTACTAATGTTCAACTCCATAGCCTTGTAATTTTGAACCTGATCCAGAAGACAAGGGAACTTCTGAATCCAGTATAAGGAGAAATTTGCCTATGTGGAGGACTTCTTGTGGAACTAACCCGCATTTGCGTTACATGGAGAGGAAAACCACGAAAACCTCCCATGGTTAGCCTGATAACAAAAGGTCTCTAACCCATGATCTGTCTACCACTGAGGATATATCTTACATTAGCACTGCGGTCGGTGCAAGCCGGATACGGAATTCGTATCGACCAGCCCTCACTGGGATTCAAACCCAGTTCACCTCATTGGAAGGCGAACGTTCTATCCTCTGTGCCCTAACGGCTCTACAATGTATTTTGAATGACATTGTTGTAGTGCAATACACAAAACCAAACTATTCAATACTGAAATATAATTATCAATATCAAGATTAATTATCGAGTCGCATTAAAACCAAAAGCGAAATCCATCTATTACATTGATATTTTCCTAAAAAAATTATTAAATACTTTACAGTTTTGATATATTTCTACAATGCATTTAGAAATATATTTATTTTAAAAGCACTTACATGTGCAATAAGTACATTTTCATTCCTCTCTTTTCTTTTAAATTTTCTTTATCAAACACAACAGCCATGCAACCAAATAACGAATATTCGAAGGTTTCTTTTACAACAAACGATTTCAGATATATAAACAAAAATAAATAATATATGTAGATTTTGGCTCAGCTTCTGTTATCACTGCTCTCTATCTTCTTCAAAGTCTTCTGTTCTAAATTCTTGGCAAAGGGAAGACAGTATACTTCATCGTTCTACCTTTAAATTTATAGTGAGCACGTTTTTCATGTAAAACTGTCCACCCCCTTTTCAAATATAAAATGTTATTTTTCGCACTCTTGTTTAGATAGAATAAGAGGCGTGCTGTTAGCACCTTTTTTGTGCTCCATCTGTATCTGTCATCCTTGAATAGCTGTTGAAAAGCACTGATGCGATTAAAACAGATACGTTTTGTGTGAAACTAGAAATAATTGTGAGATATCCATCTCTTCATTTGGGACAAAAATAACAGTTCACATGTTTAAAAATTACTTCCCATAACAAGGATTTTAAAATTTTGGTTACATGGCTGTTTTGAATGAAACTATGCTAACATTCATAATCTGAGTTATTTTTAAGATAGCAAATATACCTTTTTATTTCTTCCTTTTAAGTTAGTAAACGCTTTTTTAAAAAGCATTTTTGAATTTCATTCCATTTTTCTTAAATAAGATAATTCCTTTCTCTAAAGCTAATGAAGACTAAGTTTCATCCAAGTCTTTTTTGTGGTAAAATTACCTAATAGTCCAAGATTATAACAATTAGAGCTTACTTAATACAGGAGTTTGTTTAGAAGAAATTTGGGTCCGTTAACCGTCCAAAATATCTTTTCATAAAAACGGACCCTTTACAAAATAGTTTATCTTTTAATCGGACCCTTCACAAATTTGCTTTTCATTATTGTAATCCTTCCCAGGAAGGGGGGGGGGGCATGAAAGACAGATGTAAACGAACTAAATTTTGTCTTCGGCAGACGCTTCTTCCTTTATTCGTCCGAAAGGAATATTTTGCGTTCAGCAGTATAGGCTAAATACCAAATATTTGTATGTTGCATCGTTAATTTAGTAGCTGCAATAGCTGTTTATTTCTTTAAGTTTAATTTTTTGAATTATAATTTTACAGTGTTGAGCATAATCTTGTATGTGTTTACAATTAAAAAATTCTTTGAGAAAGTTTTTTTGCAATAACGGACCCTATTTGCACAAATTCACAAAACCGAACCCTGGTTGAAAAAATGTGATTTAACGTTTATTTTATATTCACAAATTACGAATAATTTTTTCACAATTTTAGAAAAAACGGATCTTTCACAAAATGTCTGGACAGACCCCTGTAATATTTTTGATACTATCTTGGTACTATAGCATATTAGGTTACATTTTCTACATTTGGCAGATTTTCTTACATTTTCATTTTTCGAGGTAGCATAGCGATGCTTTTAAGTTATTAGAATTCGATGAATTTAAGTTATTAGAATTTGGTTAATTTTCACTGGTTAACATTCGTTAGTTGAACATCAGGTATAATAATGAACATCAGAATCATTATTTTCCAATCTTAATTTTAAAATAATCATCAAAGCTAAGTTGGTTAAAGCAACATAAAAATATTAGATTTAAGAAAGATTTTATTTCTTTAAAAATTAAAATAAGTTATTTGTTGTTATTTTAATACATGGCAAAATAATGCAATGTAACAATAACAATAGGTTAAAAATGCACAAATTACAATCAAATAGTTCTACAAATGAAAGAAATTTATATGATTAAATTAGCGTGTTTCTAATTCAGTTGAGCAGATTCCAATTTTTATATAAATTATTTACGAATATTCTAGAGCTATTGTAAATGTAAGTATTATTCAATATTTAAACCAATTACCAAATTTTAATTGGATAGATTTATTAGAAGTCGAGTTATCTTGCGTGCCTTGGAAAAATTTGAATGAAAGAAAACAGATTTAAAGACAAAATGTGGCATAAATAATTTTAAACAAAATACTTGAGTTTGTAATTTCAATTTTAAAAATGAAAGTATTATAGTTTACTTTCGGTCGAATTGCTCGGAATAAAACGTGTCATGATATGGATTTTTTTCCTTCAAAAAACCGAATATTTTGTTAGGAAAAATTATTCGTACAACTATTTACGCATAAAGAATAAAAGTATAAACATTTTCACGTAAAAAAATAGTCCCAGAAGAGATTAAATATGCTCTATTAATGAATCAATTTTTTTGTTTTAACTTCCTCTTCATTTTTAATGAATCATTACAAAATTCATCATAAATAGATTTTAAAAATAATTAAATATTTCAGTGGTCACAAATCTATTAAGGTTTCATTAAGTTTCACAAATATTGTGGAACGCAGAGTTAAGGTATATAACTAAAAGCATAAGAGCCATACCTGATGTTGAACAAGGTGGGAGTTGTGAAAGTTGGTATGTAGCTGTTGTTGGAACGTTAGAGGAATTAGCTAATCCCAAAGGTGATCCACTATTCGTAGGTGGTATGTATGGGTATCCTTGGGTTGGATAATAAGGATAACCACTTTGACTATAACCACTGTAAGAACTGTAGTCTACACCCTGCAAACATACAAAATACCATTTAAAATATTACCAAATATGTGTTTTAAAATTACATTAACGATTGTCGCTTACTAACCTGTTGAGAAGAATAAGATTGTGCATTTGTAGCGTTGCTGGAAAAACCACTTGTCGTATACGCGCTTCCTAAAATAAAACAAAACACGTTACATTCATGTAAAGTTATTTATGTTACATGTTAGTCTAAAAATATTGTTTAACCTCTTAACGATCGGTTAATTTTCAAGACAACGGTCATAAAAGTGCCTATTTTGCCAAATACACGTATCTGATTAGTACTGACATCTAGTTTAAAATAAACTAACTATCTACAATAAGCTAAAAAATATCCTGGTACTGCCATCTGGTGTGTAAAATGAGTAAATAAAATGTTTTCCGAGCAAAAGAAATGAATTAGCTTTATTCTTTTTGGCGCGTTACTACTGAACACTCCAGCCCGGAAATTTCAAGGGAGCGAGAAATAGAGAGCGAAACTTCACCTCGTCATTTCCACAGGAGCGAGAAGGAAGGGGATAATTTTATTTGGTATTTTAATGAATTTATATCTCCAAATTTGGAATGTTTAATTTTAACATTCAAGTTTGAACGCAATTTCGTAGTGATGCAATTTTGTGTACAAATGTTAAGTTTCATTAGAGCCGATTACATGAATAGTTGTAGATTTTTAAGCACATAAAAATGTTTCAATAACCTGAATGTTGATAGGTCAAACAGGATTATTTATGCGTCTTTAAAGTAAAGTAATTATTATCCATTTAAAAATAAAAAAAACTTATATTTAATTAGCAAGAAACTCACAAAAAAGATACAATCATTTCAATTATAATGCTGCAATAATAGAGAACTTGAATAATGTTTTTTATAAATTTTGAGCTTAAAATCGAAATTGAATGAGTTTTTTTTAAAAAAAAAAATTGTTTTTTTTTAATAAAAAATAAAAAAACACTGTTAAAACGGGGGGGAAAATGGGAATTAAAAAAAAAGAATGAAAAAAATAATCTTGTGAGGGGGGGGGGAATTAAGCGTCACATTTTATTTGTAAACTGTAATTAAAACTTTGACAACTAAAAGCCAAGTGGCTTTAAGGGGGACAAAACAGTGGAGCTTGAAATAAACAACTCGGATACACTCAAAAAATATAAATGAGCTTTAGGTTTGGAAACGCGGTAAACAGTCATCCTTTGAATCATCCATCAGAAGATTTCACGCTCAACTGTTGAATACGCCACGTTGGCGAAATTAAGGTCTCTTTCTAATTATTTTTTTCATTTATTTTTTGCCGCACCTAATTGCCTGGAACTAATAGATGACTATGTCGATTCTAGTTGGAACTTTACTGTTTCCTGCTAATGTCTTAAAGATGAGACAAGTTAATGTAAAGAAAACCGTTGTAGTGAAAATATATTAACGGAAGGCATAGAAAGAATTAAAACAGAAATCTATATTATATATAAAAAAAAAAGAAATAATTCGCATATCGTCACTAATCAGAGGAAATTTGTTGGCAAAGAAAGGATGAAAAATACTGAGCTATAAGTTGGACAGACGTAAAAAAGTTAAAAGTACACTGCTCATAAAAAGATCAACATATATTTTGTTTAATCATGCTTATTATTTTACGTTGGTAACATTATAATTTAGATCTGTATTTTAATTCTAATGATGCTTTAAGATGCATTCTACCAACGTAGATCGACTAGAAATACGTAGCTTACTGTTTTAACTTCAATTTTTCTTTTGTTTTTCTCTCTGACATATTATTTCTATTCCTACCCACTTTGAATAATCTTTTTTTGTTTTGTTATTATTTTCGTATGTTTTCGTACATTTTACGATTTTATCATGAAATTTATAATTGTTTGAAATAGATTTTATAAATTGCTTGTTCTAAATGTAATTTCCAAGTTGCATTGAAATACTAGAGTTCTCTGTAAACGTTTTTAGAAGGGTAGACCGCCTTGCCAACCATTTGATCCTTATAATTGTGTCCTTTATCTTTTTTGTAAAAATAAACAGCAATCCTTTAAAAACACTGCCTTTTTATCCATGTTCCATTTTTAAGAAAATAATTCACTGTTTAAATAATAATTACACACCAATAAAATTATCTGCTTTTATCCACCACTATTTCTAAACAATTAGTAGTTTTATATATTCACCACTTTATTATAGTTAAGTCATGTTAAACCTTTTAAAAAGTTATCAAAACTAGTGAANGTTTCAACTTAATTTTTTTTTTTCTATCTGACATATTATTTCTATTCCTACCCACTATGAATAATCTTTTTTTTTTTTTTTTGTAATTATTTTCGTATGTTTTCGTACATTTTACGATTTTATCATGAAATTTATAACTGTTTGAAATAGATTTTATAAATTGTTTGTTCTAAATGTAATTTCCAAGTTGCATTGAAATACTAGAGTTCTCTGTAAGCGTTTTTAGAAGGGCAGAACGCCTTGCCAATCCTTTGATCCTTATAATTGTGTCCTTTATCTTTTTTGTAAAAATAAACAGCAATCCTTTAAAAACACTGCCTTTTTATCCATGTTCACTAATTCACTGTTTAAATAATAATTACACACTGATAAAATTATCTGCTTTTATCCACCACTATTTCTAAACAATTAGTAGTTTTATATATTCACCACTTTATTATAGTTAAGTCATGTTAAACCTTTTAAAAAGCTATCAAAATTAGTGAACTATGTGCAAATTTTAGTTTGTAGTTATTTACGGTTTTTTAAGTTAATCAGGTGTGTCCGGAGCAGTTGGCATCGCTGTTATTTTTATCAGTGAGAAGGATGATATTGTTTTTACTGTGATAAAAAAAAATGCACAAAAGTTAAAAATCATAACTGGCTGTTGACACCACTCATTATTAACTATTAACTCAGCAAAAAATAGCTAATACAAAAGTGCGTAATCGTAAATTTTCATGGCTAGATTTGTTCATCAAATAAAATGTTTTGAAATTTTCTTTTCTTGTAAGATATTTCGCATAAGAACGCGTACCCCCGCTAAACTGTTCCCGTACCCCTGGGGGCACGTGTACCACACTTTGGGAAACACTGTCGTAAAAAATTATCTGGGCTTTAGAACAAACAAATAACTTAAATATTTTAAAAATTATTAAAGTTTTTTAAAAATCTTTAATTTGGTGACATTTTTCCACCTAGATGAAATTAATCAAAATCACTGCCTTATTCTCAGTTTTTGCAAATTTTTATGAGTTCAAGTAATGCAGCAATGGAGTAACCTTTTAAACATTAAAAAGCTAGACCAAAAACGTTTTTCATTTTCACAAAACTGTGCCTCTTTTCTCCATATCGACACTTCGCTCCATTTTCAAAATAAGAGTAGACATCGCTGGCTTTAGATAGGCAAAACTTGACACAACAGTCATGAGTAACAGTTGCAAATTCACAAAAATAGCATATTATTCGCAAAAAAAAAGCATAATTTTTCATTACGACAGACCCTTTGCAAAACAGCCTTAATAAATTTTTTAATGGTTATAATTTTTGAAATTATTTTTTTAAGTGAATAACTTTCTTTTTTTTTAAGAAATGCATCTTGTGACAAGCTTTCCTCTTTCCCCCACTACAGCGCCTCTGGCGGTGAACTAAGACAGTCTGCCAGGAACCGCCGTTAAGCACGGACGTTTAATTCGAGCCCAAAACCCCCTCTTCCAAATTCTTGTATTTTTTTATTCTTGTTTTATTTTATATGTGTTTTGTCCTTTTCAATAAATATTTAGAGTTAGATTATTTCTGGCCTTTCATTATTTATGTGAATTGGTAGAAATACAAATAAACCAAGACTTCCCCTACAATCTTTAAATGTTTATTTACTCATAATTTTTAGTATTAATTATGTAAAAATCTTACAAGTTGTTTATCAATTAATGATTTTTTTTAGTTCACTTTTTTTGATAAAAAATTATGCCCAGAGAATATCTAATTAGCATGCCTTAGGTTATTTTTATAAACTACAAATTTTTCTTTCATTCTAATAATGAGAGAGAATTATTTTTTGAAATATACATATAAAATAGTATAAGATTGCAATTTAAAAATTTTTGAGAATGAAATGCATTTAAGACATAATATTACGCATTTTTATAAATTTTTGCCCTATGAAAACTTAAAGTGCTCTTTTCTGAGATTCAGCTCCCTGACCTTTTTTATTTCTACGGAGAACACTGTAAATACAATCGTATGTATATTTAAAAATAATCCAATATAAACATTGACATTCTTAAGAATAAAACTAAAAATGGGGGAAAAAATGTCAATATATACTTACCATATGTGTATGGGTTTTGTGTGGTTTGTGTGCCATTCCCAGCAGGAAAGTGAGTTCCATAGGGATTTAAGTATGAACTTTGAGACAGCGAACTGCTGTTATTTTTCCCGCTTTGGTGACTTAAGGCTCGACCACCTAACAATAAAGGAAAAACATAAGATTGGGAGGGTTGATATTAAATTCTCATACAACTTCTGAGATAATGGGTATTTTTTTAAATCTAGAATCTAGATAATAAATTAACAGAAGTTATTATTTCAAAATGTTCCCCAAACTTTTATTATGGCACGGGTAAAATTCATTTAGAAAAAAAAATGTAGAGTCCAGGAGAAAATTATAGAATTTTAAAAGCTAACAGAAAAAAACATCTTAAAGAGAAGAAGAAGAAAAAAATTGGGGTTCTTACAGAAATTTTAAAATCAGAACCAAAAGCAGCATTGCACAAATCGAACAATTCCACTGCGTAAAAACTCTTAACTCTTCGGTTGCTGAACATACTTAGAACATACTTGATTACTTAGACACTGAATGATGTCTATGTATGATACTATTCAGCGTTTAACTCAGAGTATTCACTGAGCAATACTGACCTAAATGCTTTGACTAAAAATGGAATTCTTCAATTTGAGCTATTCAAATAAAAGTAATTTTAAAGGAAATATTTATAGCAATGATAGATATTTACCTTCGTCAGAATCGATCAATTATTTTTATGGCCGGAAATGTGAGATTTTATATTTTAATCGTTCTCTAAAGAATTGTTTACTGATTTTTGGTTTCTAAACACCAAAAAGCAGTCAACAATTCTTTTCCAATGTTAATGGTTGTTTTTCGAAGGTTCTGATATAATATGAAATGATACTTCTTTGCGAATAATTTGCTATTTACGTAACTGTTGTGAGTTTGTAACAGTTACTCGTGACTGTTAAGTTAAGTTTAGCTAATCTTTAGTCAGCTCCCTTATGCTAATTCTGAAAATGGCACAAAACGTCGATTCAAGGAAAAGCCAGTTTTGAGAAAATAAAAAGCATTAATGGTNTTTTTTTTTTTTTTTTTTTTTTTTTTTTTTTTAAATATACTTAAAAACTTACTCCTATGCTTTTTTATCCTGGTTCATAAAAATTAGCAAAAATTAGAAATAAGGCATTGATTTTGATAATTTTCACCTTATTAGGAAAATATCGCCAAACTGGTTTAAAAAAAGTTAGAAGATTTTTAAAATATTTAAGTTATTTGTTCGTTCTAAAGCCCAGATAATTTTCAGTTCAAGATGGCACATATAGATTGAAATTACTTCTTCGCATCAAGCGTACGGCACTTAAAACTGTGGCTTTTTTATTTTCCTTGGCGAAAGTGCTTCGAAAAACCATGCTAATCTTTAACGTTTAAACTCTTTGCTTTTAGCTGTTATATGAGAACTACTAACCTGTTACACCATATGACTGTGATAGGACGTTGTAAGCTGTTGCTTGACTTGCTTGATTGTAAAAATTAGACGCTGCTTGCATTGAATACGCAGGATTTTGAGCTCCAAATTGCTGATAAGCTTGCATACTAAATGAGAAAAAAGGAAAACAATATTTAATCACTGTCTTTATAAAGAACATGGGGCAACCTGATTAAAAATACTAGTACTCAGAGTAACAGTACTTTTTTAATTACCATAAAAAGCACTAAATTAGTCTAATGAAATAAATATTCCAGTAAAAATTACAGTATAATATTTTACGCTAAAAATGGATTTTATGGATGATGCACCCTAAGTCCCGTTATAGTTTAATGTTATTGAATGATCCTAATTATTAATTTGGGACGAATATCATGTTTCATTAATTTGGTCAGGAATTTTTCATAGAGAAGCCTTCGAATAATAGCGAATTTCCTGCAAACAACTCGGTAAGTTTTAAATCCTAACAGATTTATTATTCTTAATGTTTTTCTTTCAAAACATAGTGTTTTTACATATTTTAAATTTTGTTCAATTATTTTTTCATTGTAAAATGTATAACAACGCATAAGGAATAAGGTGAACTTACCGCTGCCCCTAACCAAAGTATATAGAGCAAATGCATAAAGAATAAAACCTCGTCACACAATAACTCAACCTAAAATATTTGTGTTATAAATAGTTCAAAATACTTACGGCAGGGCTATATATTCTTATTATGCCTTTATAATTAATTTATCAAGAGGGAATTTTGTCTGTAACTTTTTGTGTTTCAATGATCACTAACTTACTGGGGGCTTCTGAACTTACTGGGTAAGTTCAGAAGCTTTAACTTCTTTCAGGTAAATAAAAATATTTTGTCGAAATTAAAGCAAAGATACATTGCTAATTTTTAAACAGTAGCTAAAATTTTATCTTATTTTTAAACAATATGAAAGATATTGCCTAAAATAAAATGTGAGCCGCTGTAGCTCAGGGCATGAGCGTTCGCCGAAGAATGAGGCAACCCAGGTTCGAATCCAAAAGCTGACTGGTTGTTACGAATTCTGACCCTGGCTCGCACAGATCATAGTGCTGACGTAAAATATCATCAGTGGTAGAAGGTATCATGGGTTATAATTCCCTTGCCATTTGAGCTAATCGAGGGAGGTTTTCGTGTTTTACCTCTCATGTAACGCAAATGCGGTTTAGTTCAATTAAAAAAGTTCTCCATAAAAGCTAGTTAGTCCCAATGCTTGATGTAGGAGTTCCCTTGTCTTTTGGGATGGATTCAAAATTACAAGGCAACGGAGTTGAAAAAATTGGGTCGGCTGCTCAACGCCGCGGTTATGTAATAAAATAAAAGATAATAAAATTTTATAGAATTATTAACTCATAGAATTATTAACTCATAGAATTATAGAATTATTAATTAATTATAAAATTTATTAATTCATACCTGCTATAGTAGGACGAAGGATAGGAACCTGTAAAATCAATTGCTGTTGCCCCTTTACCAGGACTTATATCACCTGAAAAATTAGAATGTTTTTAATTTTTTGTTCTTTATTGTTTCTAGAAAAATATCTCATTAACCTTTATTAACGTCACAAAATTTAAAAATAAATAAATTTAGAAGTGAAAATTTACACTGTTAAATGCAATTGTTAGAAGCAAAAAAAAAAAAAAAAAAAAAAAAAAAAAAAAAAAAAAAAAAAAAATTGAAAGCTGATTATAATAAATATTTATTTAATTCATGCTATTGTTTCATTTTGCTGCCATAAAAGGTTTTCACTTGTCATCGTGTTAGATTAAACGTTGCTGAACTTTTGGTTGTGTTACTGAAATCAAAGCATTTACAAAATAAATAAATTTTTGACTTTGATCTCAAAAATGGTTCGATGAATAAATTAAATCAGAACGAAAGGCTAATCGATTTTAACCGCAGTATAATTATTTAATGACGCATAGATAATGTATTCAACTTTTTAAACAGAGCTTATAACTCAAAATAGGGATAATCAATTCAGAATGACTTAAATAGTTGGGTGATTGATTAGTTAAGAGATATTTTATGTTTTCAACGACCAAAATAACTTGATTGGCAAAGAGAAATGAAATCATTGTTTGAGAGCAATTGAGGTTAACAAGAGTAGTTTCAATTATCAAACCAACTTTGCAACTTCAAAAATATAAATAAGTATAATAATAAAAATCACTTATCAATTTTTAAAGTTACTCAGTCACAGAAATTCAAAATTTCCCCCAAATTTTTTTAAAAATATCATAATTACAATGTTTGAGAATAATGCAAAACAAAATCGCATGTAACTGATTACGTGATGATACGAAATAACTATATGGCACGTTATTAACAGTGTTCTGTGATACGGCACACCCTTAGAACAATTAAGAAAAAAAGGCAAGTAAAAATTTTTTTCTTTCAATAAAACCATCAGCAAGTCATTAAAACTTTTTTTAAAATATAACGCGTTTCAACAAATTTCGTATTATTAAAACTGGGATTTGTGAAAATCAATGTTTTTGTTTCGATTTTTTGGCACAATAAAACAAAATAGTGAAACATCACTTGACACGAGAATTGGCCTGTTAATTTATTGGTTAACAAAACAGAAATAAAACAGAAATAAACATAAAACAAAATAGAAATAAAATATTTTCCTAAGACACTGCCAAACATTTTGCCTAGTCGCATGACGTTGCCCAACATTTCAAAATGTGTAATGTAACCATGGAATTTAAATCATTTTAAATATGACAATTTATTTTTAATTAAAAAAAAAATTATTCCTTTTTTTAAATACATTAATTCTACAAAAGAAATAGCGCAAGCCTCACAAAAAGTATTAGTAATATGAAAGTTATATTTTAGTAGAACAAAAGAAAAAATAAATGAAGTCCTTTTTATTTTAGACGAACATTTCAATCTAATAAAACATTCTTTCAACTAATGGTTAACAACATTTAAATATTTAAAATGGCTAATTTAATTTCGATGCAGAATTATAATATTATTGTCTGAATATTTATTTCCGTTTTGATAATATTGTTTGCACAGTTATAAAAGTTTACATATTTACCCATCGATAATATTGTTTGTCGTTTACTAGTGAGTAGTAATATTGCCCAAAAAAGATAGGGTATACTTTGTGCTATGTTGACTAAAACAAAAAATGAACTTGAATTAAGTCACCTTTCTTTTCTTTCCTTTAGAAATATTGTGTAAATATTTCAATTTGAGTAATCTAGTTTGAATTCTTAATTAGCACATGCGAACTCATAAAATAATAGATTTCCTTTATGTTCACTATTACAGCGGATGCGTACACATTTAATTTTGAGAAGTCACAAGTAATTGTGACATACCTGCATAATTTGCTAAAGAGTCTGCACTTGTCGGGTAACCAGAATCGATATGGGAGGCATCCGCTGTTGCTAAGTGCTCGACTTTTACTGCAAAATAAATCGATAAAAAAATTAAGCCTCTAATTAAAATATTAAAACTTAATAAAAAATCGAAAAGTCTTATAATTCGCTTCAATTTTTTCATTAGTCTATCCAACTATCCGAATCTATAGCACTTTTCTGAAAACCTACAAATATATTTTATATTGATAATCTTATTTCTTTGGCAATTTCTTTATTTCTAGTTGCCTTTAATAACGGTTTATAGCATAAATATATTTATAAATTTAATAGTAAAAAATAAAATTTCTCAAATCATGGGAATTTAGTTAACAGCATTTTCTTATCAAGTTGATTTCTTTATTTTTTGTAATCATAAATTTAAACAACAGTTTTTATTAAAGGCATTAAAATATTAATTATCTATATATTACCCATAATGTATGCAATACCGGCATACTGCAGAATACATTGACGTTTTATAAAATAATTAAAAGTTTTTTGGGGATATAGAATGACGGTAACATGAAGGATTATTATTTTAAGTTAAAACATGCATTAAAATTAAACATTAAAAATAGTTATTAGGAAGATTAGATTTTGTTAAGAACAGTTTAAATTGATAATAATAAAATGCATTTGAGTCATGCTGGCACAAAATAAAATTCATGCAGATGAAATAAAATTTTAAAATGTTAGTTAATCCAACAAAAACAAAAATGAAACTTAGAATGAAATATTACAAATTTATTTAATAGAAAATGTTGTTTTTATTATCAAAGTTTTTATTTAATCGATTATTATACTGATTAATTGGTAAAAAGTATAGAAATTTACATCTGCTAGTCTATTTTTGGGCCCCAAAAGAAATCAATACATTTTACATAAGAAAATAAGCACAACAATCAATAAACTTTTAGTTACAGTATAAATATACGAGGGTATTTTAAAAAAGGCAAACGATTAACTAAAAAAAGTATAGTTTGCTCTACTTAAATATAATTAAGGCTGATTTTCGAAGGCTTTGCAGTCGCATGAAATGATGCTTTTTTAATCATTGTATGATCCCTCATACCAATATTTAAATGAAATTTTTAATCGAGTTCAAAACTTAGGGTTTAAATGAAATCAAAACGCAATTGCGACGAATATGCCGTTTAATATCTTTTGTACAACTAAGTTATTTAGCAGGTGAGCTCTCATAAAAATTCTATTACTACTGCATTGTTGATTGTCGTAAATTATTTAAAATCAGATAAAAGAGATAAATCAATAATTTGTATGTTAAAAAAAATGAAAATTCAGATTTTTGGGTACTTTAAAACCATTTATTTAAAATCCGCATTTCTATTTTCCGAGAACGATAACGAAATATCGGGGCAACAAGTTAAAAAAAAATCAAAAAAGGAAAAAAAAAGAAAAAAGGAAAAAAAGGACTAAACGTTTTTTATAGTATAATTAGGACAACTACGACTACTAAATTTGATAAATATGCCAATTTTCCGGGGTTTTTTTCTTCGATTTTTTTCCTGTCTTGTTTTGTTTGTCTTAACTGTCTTGTTTGTTATTCGTTTTGGGCATCTCTCAACAAATCGCCAAAAGAACATTTTTTTTGTTGAAAAAATGCATTCATTTGGTTTTGATTGTATTAAAATAGATATTCTATGAAGAATTAATTTTTAAAAAAATGAATGAATAAAATATGAAACTTATTAAGATATTTATTCTATAAAGAATTAATTAATAAATGAATGAATAAAATATATAACTTATTGTATTAAAATAGATATTCTATGAAGAATTAATTAATAAAAATAAATAAATGAATAAAATATATAATTTACCAGTGGGTTCCGTGCCACACATTCCCCAGGCTGAAGTTGAGTTATACGACGGCGAATCATTAGGACTTGCCATAGAACTCAGGACACCTAAATATCATTATTATTTTAGATACAGTGTTATTTCTATATTACTTTTACTATTTGTTTAGAACATTATTTGTATACATATATATCACATGCGACCAAACTGTACTTTTTAAAATTATTTTAGACACATACTGTTCCAAAACTTATTTCAAATAAGAACTTGTACTACTTTTTAAATGGCTAAATTTTATGAAAAATTGCCCGACAATAACGAATGCATAATTATTGAAGTCACTTAGATAAATTGCAATAATCAGCATGTTGGTTAACTCCTCTTCGGGTCTTTTAGAAATAAATGCAAATATTGTTAGAGAAGGATGTGTAAAATTGATCTTACACATCCTTCTCTAAGGATTGAATCTATATTTCTATGATTTTAGTTGAATCTTATTTAATGAATTTCCACTATTTAAATATATTTTACTTAGATTCAACCATATTTCTGAAAAATTATAAGTTAATTTGTAGTAAAAAAACTGGCGTGTTTATCTGGTTTTAAAATGTAAAAATATTGTAACACATTGAAGCGAAACGTATAAGCGTTACACGTTTACAGAAAGGTGCCAAGTTGAGTAAAATATACTGCAAATTAATTCTTTCTTAACTTGATTACGATACTATTAATGATTCAACCTTAAATGAAGCATGGTTAAACTCAATAACTTTGAGAAAATTTGTTGAATTATAGAAATTCCCGATATTATGGATAAATCTTGAACAATTTTTCTGAAAGTGTAAAAAAGATCGTATTGACTGATTTAACAGGATGACAAGACGTTACAATAGACAGACAGTATACAGTATTTCATATTACAATTTGTTGGTAAAGACCAATGAAAATTATTTTTTTAACGAACTAAAATTAAAATTTACCATTTGTAGTAAGTGAGGTTGGCAAACTTGGCGATTCAGAGGCTAAAGAATGCGGAGATGTCTGTCCACTATCGCCTTGTGTTTCAGGACTGGAAAGACTTCCTTGCTGACTCTCTTGGCTACTAAAATGGCGAAAAAAAGATCCATTAGGAACTGCATTTTTTTTTAATGTTTTAACTTTTTAATACTACAGAGATTTTATTTTTACTACATTGTAAAAACTTAAGCGTAATACTTTTCAAATTTGGTGTTGAACAACCTCAAAAATAAGGCATAGTAAAATCTAAACAGCAATAATTCAAAATATTTAAACCAAGCTCAAACACATTTACACCATTTCTGAATTATTTTCGTCTTTGAAAACACCTATTTTGGTGCAACCTTAGGCACTGTCAGATGGGCACCTATAGATTGTTTACAACCGTTAACGAGGCATTGTGAGTTTGCTATCGCTTTGCATATAAAAGAAACTACAGAAACAAAAGTTCACTGTTACAAAATGTCTGTATGTTTTTAGTTGTGTAATAAGGACAATCATATTCTAATTTATACATATCTGCAATTTTATTAAAGAATTTTTTAAAATATTCGATTTCTACCTGTTTCTGTTTGGCTAAGCCAAGCTCGAAATCGTCTTCACATTCTCTTTGCTTTGCATGTATGTTTCATTTTAAAACTAATTTTATTTTAAAAGATCGGTGTATCTGCATCCTAAACAAATGGTTCTTACTTTTAAATTTTATCGTAAAAACAACTTTGCTAGCTCTTATGTGTATCATATCTTTTATTTTAAATTTTAATATTATTGAACACCTACAAGGGTGAACTACTTAAACACATAAAGTATCGAAACAATCTTGAAACAATATCTACACCTATGGCTAATGTTAAATTATACCAATAATCTCTGGCGTATCATTTCCCCAATTTTAATATAAATTAGTTTTACAGCAAAGATAATCGAAAAATAATACGTGTTTGGATCTTTTTTACTTGATAACTTCTTAATCAATACAATGAAATTTGGAATCCAAAATGAATACAATTGATCAATGCAATGAATATAAGGATTTAAAAACGTACCTTGTAACTAATAAGACTAAATTTATAAAAAAGGCCAGACAATAAACGTCATTAAATTTAATCAACGTATAAAAAAGTTCCGCAATTACTTCGATAACACTACGACACCAAACCAAGCCATGCAACTCCGAAATATACAAATATCAAAAAGAAAAGAAAAGAAAAAAAACACTTAAAACTTGCTGTACAGTAAACACAAAACAAATAAGCAATGTATCTAAGTATTTATGTGATGTTACCAAAAAAACTTAAGGAAATTTAGTGGGAATATGTTGAGGACAAGTGAAACGGAGTACAATAATTCACGCTTTTTTTTAAGCCACATACCAAAGTAATGTAGCTCCATGCCGATAGCAAACACCTGTTTCTATTTACAACCCTCTGAAACGGAGCTAGTTTTTTTTTTAATAAAATAATAATAAAACGCTGCTATATTGTAACATTTGCAGAGCTCTTTCACACTGATTACAGTTCTGCCAACACCTGGAAAAGCTCAAGATTGCCTTATCTGAGATGCTGACAGTTTTTGCAAAGCGTTTTGATCACACTCTTTTGCTTAAAAAAGAAAAAAAAATATTTCTGTGCTATATCTTTTTTTCGTGGAGATTAAAATGTACCTTATATTTAAAAAAAATCAGAGTCACACTTTTCATTCTTATCCATCTAGTTTTATTATGGGAATTCTCTAAAAAAAATTTAGCCGCATAATAATTATTAATAATCTTAGAACTTTTTTTAAGAAAATGTGTATCAATAGTGTGCTTGTGGACGCCCGGTGGCTGAGCGGTAGCGCTTCGCGCTGTCGTGCCACAGGTCCCTGGTTTGATCCTCGGGCCGGGTAAGGCTGACTCAACTTTTCATCCCTTCAGTGGGTCGATAAATGAGTACCAAGCATGCTTGGGAACTAAACACTGGGGATTCCGAGTTCGGCTGACCACCTGACCGGAACATCTGCTCCTGCACCCCTGAGCCCAAGGTCGCGCCGCTGAATTTTAGTTTTAGTATGCTAGTGACAAAATTCATGGGATAGTTATATTCAAATATACATAAGAGTTGCATCGCGTACTAAATATGTATATGTGTAGTATGACTTAAATTTGTGTTCAAGTTATTCATCTGAGAATGTTTCTGATGTAATTATGACCGCAAGGAGAGAATTAGCAAGCTATGAGTGTAAAATGGCAGTTAGAGCTAGACGGATAAGACTATTCTTTTCGGAAATTGTGAAAGAATTCAACATTCCTAGATCTGCAGTGTCGAGAGTACCTAATTTCAAGCATAACCTCCCACCTGCCAGTGTTAGCAAACAAGTAACATTGCGTGTAATAATTGTAAACATCAATGCGGGAAGTGAAATGGAATTGTCCGTTAGAACAATATGATTCTCTTTGGCTGTGATGGTATATGACAGAAGAAGATCAACTCGAATGCCTTTAATAACAGCACGACATCAGACTCAAAGTCTCTCCTGACGTCGAAACCATCTTGGTTGGACCCTAGATGACTGGAAAACAGTAGCTTGGTCAGATGAATTACGATCTAAGCAAATCAGAGCTGACAGGAGATTTCGAATGTAGGGCAGACCCCACGAAGCCATCAACCCAGGTTGCCCCGTGCAATCTGGTGATGTCTCCATAATGCTGTGGGCTGCTTTTTTCATGGCATGGACTGGGTCCTATAACCCGACTGTACCGATCATTGGCGGGAAACTGTTCTGTTCAGTTACTTGGAGACCACTAGAGGCCATTCATGAACTTCCTGTACCCAAACAAAGAGGGAATTTTTTATGAATGTCAATGCTCCATGTCACCGGAACTTAATTGTAAAACATACGACTGGTTTGTAAAGCATTTTGGATAATTCTAGCGAATGATTTGACCACCAAATTCGCACGACATGAATCCCATCAAACATTTATGAGATATAATCAAGAAATCAGTTCAAGCACAAGATTCTGCACTCACAACACTTTCGCAATTATGGACAGCTATTGAGGCTGAATATTTCTCAAGAGACTTCCAATTACTTATTGACTTCATGCAATGTTGAGTGGCTGCCCTTCGTAAGGATAGAGGGGGTGGGCCGACACGATATTAAGAGGTATCTTCTATGACTTTTGTCATCTCAGCGTATTCTTGACAATGGAAAATTAAAAAAATATTATAAAAAATTTATAAGAAACTTAATATTAGCCTAAAACAGAGTTCGAATAAAAAAAAATAAATAATTCTTTAATAAAGAAATAATTTTTCCTAGTAACCATTTTCAATAGCAGATTTCCTAATTCATTTTCAGCTTCTGTATGCATAACACGCCAAAAACAAATTAATAACTAAACAGGAGAAAGAAAAATAAATTGCAAATTTAATTGTCGGAAATAACACAAATTTCAGATTATTAATGTTCCTTTCTGTAATAAAAAATAGCTTTTTTTTATAGGTTATAACGATCACAGTTACCTCAATAAACTTTATTCACAAAGACGAAGGTTGATACCTCGCATTTAGGATTTCTTAAAAGAAAGAAATTGGGAACCGTTGTTCTAAAGCATTATTAAAAATTACCAAATTTTATCACATATTATAAAGCCATATTTTATTTCAAATTTTACCAAAATCTTTAGCAAAGTACAATCAGTAACACGGTAAGTTTTATCATGTTATGGTAATTTTGATCATACTTTTTTTCCTACTGTACCTTTCATTTTTTGATTACTTTATTTTTTTAAAGGTTTTATTTCAATTTCTAAACATTCTGTTATTCTAATTTAGAGTATTAACGCTTTAACACTCAGGTGCAGAGATAAAAATTAGTGATGTAACGAATAGTGATTAAGCCAAATACTGAATATTCGGCCAAAAAAATCGGCTGAATAGCAACAATTTAAAAAAAAAAAAATTTCTTTTTCAAAATATTATTTTTATACAGAATATATATTTTTATATATTTTTTATTGAATATTTTATATCATTATTGAAAAATAATCAAAACTTAGCTGCATTATTGGTATGGGATAAAGGGAAAAAAAACTCAAATCGAAATGTTTAAGATAATAAAAATAATTAGATATTAAGAAAATTAGATATATTTAAGATTAAAAAAAAAACTGAAATAATAGCTATTAAAAAGAACTAAAGTTGTAAAAAAAAAGAAATAAAAAAATCCTATTAATTCTTAAAACAAAACTTTAATGCTAAAAATAATATTTTCCAGGAAAACAATTATCCATAAAACAATTATCCATAAAACTATAAAAAAAACAATTATCCATAATTAAAAGAGATGTCTATCAGAAACGCTTTTAAAATTGCAAAGATTATGTACTAAAGCAAAAACAGAAGAAATAAAAATCGATTTTAATTTTTTAAAGAAAATTTTAAAGCTAAAGCATTTCAGTACCCAATTATCACATTTTCAAGAAAAAGTAAAGATTAAAGTCTAATAGAAACCCTCTTCATTTCCGCGTCATTATAAAAACGTCTATAAAAAGACACGTTTTTTGAAAAAGAAAAAGCCAGATAGAAGCCAAAACAAAAATCATTCTTAATTTTTAAACGAAAGATTTTTCGCTACAAATATTAGTATAATTTTTTCACATTGCCGTATTTTTAGAAAAAAGTGACTATAAAAGAATAACGTCCATTAGAAACGGTCCTTTAAAAAATTATGTCGTAATAAAAAACGCTGAAAGTTAATAAAACAAATTAGGAAAGAAACAGAAAGAAAAAAAACTGTTCTTAGTTCTGAAATATAACTTTAACGTTGAGATTACGCAGTTTTCTATGTTACTAGTAACCTGCCTTACCTTATGAGAAAAAAGTGAATAAAAGATTAAAATCTACTAGAAAAGCTTCGTCAACATGCTTCGCTTTTGTTAAAATAGAAAAACAGGCAATAATGAAACAAAAAATAGGTTCTTAATTTTTAAAACATAAAGTGTTCAATAAACGATGAAATTGACTAGCCTGAATATAATTAAAAAAAGAAAATAATCAGCATAACAAAACTCGAGATTTAGTATAAAGTAATCAAGTTTCAT